GAGGGAATGCTGTTAAGGCAGCATAACAAGGGATACAGTTTCTATTGCCTGATTAAAAAGATTTCACAAGAAATCCTTTTCCTTTGCCCATGATACTGGACAATTCTGAAAGGTGAATTTCAAAGCTTCTGTCCATAGAGAAATCATATCAGAGCAACTGTAATTAAACCTCAACAGCAGTAATTAAACCTTACCTTCATCTTTATATTTTATTGTGACTTCATCATTGCTCAGAAGTTTTCCTCTAAAAACTCTTTGCATCATTAGCACCAATTCATCATAGGTGATATCTTCATTGTGAATAGGGATTCTCCTAATATCTTCCCCAAGCTGAGCCTTGATGATCAGCTTCCCGCTTAAGTCCAGCTGCCCATTCATGGTGGATTCTTTATTGCCTGCTGACCTGTTAGCAACAAAACATTAAAAACATTTCAGAAAACTAAACTGTTATTTAGATCTATCTGATGACAGTTCTGAAGCTTTACATTATCACTGTACTTGATTATTTTTACATGCCCTGTAATTATGGTAATGGACAAAGCGCTTTTTTTTTTATTCATTAAAGAAAAGACTGCTGGAAAAAGTAACTTATTTCAAAGATTATAGGTTGTAAGTTGGCTTTCCTAAGGGGATCAAGCTGAATCGTGTATTATTTCTTGAACAAATAAATGAAGAGCTAAACATTTGGTTTATGATATGGATGATCAGAACTCACTGAGGGTTTCTCATCAGAAAGGAAGATACACAATTTTTCATTTTTAAAGATTTTGACTGAGATATTTTAACCAAGATTTTAGACTTTTAAAAGCTGCTCAACAGACCACACATTAACTACTCATTGGGCTGACTCCTGGTCAGAACACTTGGTTACTCTCAGTGTTTTAAGAGGTAGACAACTGCTCTAACCTAAACGAAGTGAAACAAAGGCATCTTGTGTCCCAGCAGCACACTGCATATACTTCAGAGTTACACCTTTAGCACTTTATACGAGACAATTTAAAAATCATCACTTTATATGAGGCATCTCTCATTTAAAAACCAGAAGCTACAGTGAAGTTATGAGAAGAGGAACGGGGAAAAAAAAAAAAAAAAGAGATCCACGTAGTTACTCAAATGTCCCCTCCTTGCTTCACTGTTCTGGACAGTGCCAAAACAATAGATCTGGAATGAGGAGCAATTAAAGAAGCAGTTATCTTAACATCTGAAGTGCAATTACTGAAGATGTTAAAAAGTAAGCAGCCCTATACATCAAAATTACGATTTCTAAAGCCACATATAGGCAAACCTACTGTTTATTCTCTTGTGCAAAAAGATTTCTTCTTAGAGATATCCAGGTATTTCTCTCTTACTTTTAAGGATGTTATAACACAGTGTCTTATGAGAAAAATTAATTTTGCTTTGGTTAGTCTATTTTTACAGTACTGCATTGAACATTAATTCTCTCCTACCAGAGAAACAAGACACTCAGTTAAAGCCTTTAATACATAATTCCTTGATGCACATATATATATATATATATATATATATATTTAACTCTACTATTTCAATGGCAATGTTTTGACAGTATCTCTAGATTGCAATTAAATTTCTGGGGGTTCTGGTAATTAACTTAACATAAAGCAAAGATTTCATGCAAATCCCTTTGTTTAGTCCCAAAAGATACAAGCAATTACTGAACAAAACTCACTCTCCTCATCACACCTAACAAGAGGTAGGTGGATACAGTCTAATTGCAGAGAAGAGGGACATGCAATTAACACAGCTACGTTGCTGCTGAGGCACTATGATGAAAAAGTGAAGTTTATAATACTGTTAATGCTCACCAATACATTATTCATGTTTTGCAGCATGGGAGTCTTGACTGCAGGCACATCAACCCATTCTAATTAACTTTAAATGAGTTTTAAAAGCACAGAGTTTTGCACAAGTTGGTTGGTTGCTGGGATTTTTTTTTTTAATTTAAGTATTAAAAAATAAAACAGTATTGATCCACAGGTTTCCTTTCACCTCCTTCCCAAAACCAGACATCTATCATTACCTTGCGTGTCTTACTGATGCTGGATTATTGGACAGTTAGGATAAGCCGCCATGCACTACCAGTGCCAGAAAACAGTAAGCTGCATCAGAAAAAAAACACATTTATAGTCACACTTTCTTAGAATTATACAACTCAAATCAATTTTTCACTTCAGAACATCTTAAAAAATATACCAAACAAAAAAAATCCTTGTTTTATCCATAAATGATAAACCATAATCAGATCTACACTTCCGCGTATTGTAGAATTTGAAGTTCAGCTTAAACAAATCTTGAACAAGAGTTTTAATTTCACAACAGAAGTAAATTTTTTCTAGATTTTGTTAACTGCACATAGAAATTCCTAACAGTAATGTGTTCCTTTCCAGAACACTCCTCTTCCCCAACGGTCTCCTTCCATGTGCATGGTATCCATCTTAAAGACACAGGTTAAGTTAAAGAAAATAAACTTTGACTGATTAAACAGTACAAAAACTGAGAAGTCCGTCTTTCAGCTTAAGGCTGAGGCCTCTGTGGTGTTAAGCAGCGTGTCTGCAAAGACAGATCAGATAGCACTACAATAGACTACCAAGAGGGAAGGAGGAGTAATGCCACTTTCCCACAGGAAGAGCCACCAAACTGGGCAAGAAGGAAACGCATCAGAAATGTACAACCACTTAAAAATACCGTCTGCCCTCATTTCTGCTTAAGACTGTGCTTTTTGTGCTGGAAAGCCTAAATCATATTTATGCAGCCCACCTGATTATTACACAAGTGCCTAATGCCCAGAGCTCCAAGACAATGATTTAGTACACACAGACCAGTCCTGCAGAACATTACTGGCTCCTCCCTCCCACCCCATGGGCGTACCCTACCCAGCACTCCTCTCTCTTGCCCACACAGCCAATTTCAAGCATCCATAATCTGATTTTTAGATGATTCACTGCTAACCAGAGAGAAAAAGTAGGTTCCCCTCATCCACATAAAACTGGGCTTTCCAGCTCTCCTCTTTCAGCTCAGCTGGAAGCAAACTGGAGCAGAGAGGCACAAGACATCCAGGATGGAGGCAGAGAACAAGCAAATCCCAGAGAACATGCACAGCCCCTCTCTGGTTCTCAAAGGTTGGCAGCTGCTCACGTCACTCAGGGTATGAAATGCTCACCTTTGAAAAGGGTTGTACCTGCTCCTGACAGGGAGGGGATAAGACTGTTGTGACATGCTTATGTCACATGTGGACAGGAAGAGGCTACTTTTCTGATGCCTCCCTCATGTTTTATGAAATGAGTTATACATGAAGACAGTGCCCCTCTCACCCCAGACTTGCTACAGCTCCAGGTAAATTTACTGTAATGGACAAATACGGGATACAGACAATGTATCTACGAGTGGTTTAACTTAAGAGTTCATTTAGCTACCACCTCATGTTGTTTAAACATCAGAGCTGGGCTCTGGTTTTGCCTCTTCAGCATTATAGTGTAAGCTACTTAGAAACTGTCAACAGTAAGAACTGAACCTCATCTGTAATTCCTGAAGATACACGTTTAGGTGGACACACCTGAGCTCCTGTGGCCTTTCAACAGATTGAACACATCTTTGTGCAGGTAAATGAGCCGCACGTGCTTTATTTACCAGCCCCACTCACAAAAATCTGCTATCAGCAACTATGAAAAGGTGGCAGGAAAGCATTTAACTGCACTTTTTTTTGTCCAGGTGGTCTCCATTCTGCTTGAAGGTGTCCAGTTTTTAAGAGACTGATTTTAAACACCTCAGCTGCTTGCAGTTGTTGCAGAAAACTATGTGAAATGTTCAAATTACTGAATTACACAGCACTCAAGCTTTCTCTCCTCACTGTGACACAGCTAAATGGATGACTCCATTGAGAGAGTTTTTCAGTGAAGACATCCAGAATGCACACTAATGAGCTTTTTAAGAGAATCAATCAGTGTCTACTTTCCTCAGGGGGAAAAAAAAAATAATTAACAAAACATTTTGTCTTCACGTTAAAGATTCAAGATTGCTTTCCATAAGAATCACACTGACATCTTTCTAACCTTCCTGCTGTACCAGAGTAGAGTTTTTCTCCCCTCCTCGCTCACTTTCTATTCACATCATGCACGAATCCAGACGGTGCATGTGGACAAGGACTGTCCAATCTAAGCCAGTCCCTCCAGGATCCCCTCTAAAACTAGCATGTCATAACCATGTTGTATTTCACTACCCTTTTAGCACAGCAGTAAAGAAAAACAACCTTGCCTAAGAAAGGGAAGGACAGGCATTCCTGCTTTGCTTGAAAAAACAGGGGCAAGGAACAGAAGGAAGGGCAAGCAGTACTGCCTCCCAAACCCCAACCGAGAGAGCCACGAGAGCTTTCCCGAGGCAGCGCGGGGGGGTGAGGCGGGGGAGCAGAAAGGAGAAGAGCTCTTTTCGGGTTTCCCCAGTTCCCAAAAGGGGAGCAGAAATCACAGCCAATCCCTGCCGGGCAGCGAGGAACCGGCGGCTCCTCTGGCCCCCAAAGCGAGCGCCGCCCAGGGGCAGCCCCTGCGGACGGATCCCCGGACTCCCGGGCCCGCGAGGCCGCGGGCGCCTCCGCCGCCCCTCAGCCGTGGCCGGGGGCGCGCGAGGGGTCTCCCGGCCCTCCGCGCAGGGGCCCGCGTCGCCCCGGCCCCGGGGAACGATGGCGGGGGGCGGGCTCACCCCAGCCCCCGCGCCGCCCCTCCTTCCATCCCTCCCGCCGCCTCCACACACAGGGCAGCCTCGCTCTCTACTGTGGCCTCTCGCGGTGCTGCCGCTGGAACGCCCCGCGCAGCCCCGTCCGAGCCCAGGCCCGGCCGCGGCCGCCGCCGCCCGTACGGTGGCAGGGCAGAGAGAAGGGGTCGGAGCCACGGCCGCGGCCTGCGCGAGCCGTCGCGCCTGCGCGCTCCGCCGCGCGGGCTCCGCCCACCTCGGGCCAACATGGCGGCCCCCGGCCAACATCGCCGCCGCCGTCATTTCCTGCCGTGCCACCTCAGCGCCGCCCCGTACGGGTTTCTTCTAACAGAGGGGTTGTTTCGAAATACAGGCCTTAGGCCCGCATAGGACTGGCGGTGCTGAAAAGCAAAACGGGCCGTAGAACTCTCCTGTAGTTGTCAGGCGCCGCCACCCTCGCACGGGAACCTGTTCATCCTCGAATAGTCACTTCAGGCGTTCGCTACTGTTCACACAGACACATTCATGGCATTCGGAGCTTGTCCGCCTAAGAGAGGAAAACATGAAACTGAGCCCTGAGTTTTGTCTGTCAGAGGTGCAGGAATGGAATCCTAAGGTGCATCTCCCAGAGCTGTTGGAGCTGGACCTGCTGTTATTCTTGGATATCTGAGATTTCTGCTGCTTTTCTTCATTTATCAGTGAAGCTGCACTGTGCTAGTACAAGTGACAGAAGTGCCTACGCAGAGCTAGCTAAAGCATGACCGTGGTTAGTTATTTCCTGGAGTTAAAGGTGCCCTTGAGAAGACACCTTTTCCTTCAGTGTCTTGAAATTGGACCTATCAATCCGTTATACTTTCTGCTGCTCACATTTCCTACCTTTGTACTAATGATTCAGTCCTCCTCCAATCCATTTCTTTATCAAAGCAGTGTTTCCAGAGTGTTAAGAAGAAAATTCATGATCCTTAAAGCTCACACATCACAAACAATACCAAAGTTCACTACATTATGAAGATAAATATATTCCATGTGTAGATAAGAGCTGAACTATTGTTCCTGTAACAATTAAGCATATAACCTGAAAAAGATTATTTTACTTCGTTCCATTTCTGAAATTAGGATTCCCTGGATGAGGAAAAAAAAAAAAGCCATAAAACACGTAATTTCCTGTGAGTTTTTATGCTGAAAACATTTTATATTAGGCAAGACATGGTCAGTGTAGGCTGTAACAGTATTTTATTAACATCTGAAATACTTACACATGGGATATTTGATTTAATTAGTAAAAAAGTCAATACTTTTCCAATTCAATACTTCAAATTTTTCTTGTGTTTTTTTGCTTGTTTTTCAGGATAATATGGAGAAAATATTTTTATTAGGTTTTTAAAAGAGCCATGTTCAAAATTTAATGGGATGTGCTTTAGAGAATATTTTTGTTTGTGGGGGAAAAAATATCAGTTATTAGAAAACATTATCCTTCATTGAAGGAGCCATCCTCACAGTGCCTAGCTGTGTTTTACAATACAATCAAATACCATCTTTCCTAAACCACAGAAATTTCTAAAATACCTTTCTTCAATGGAATTGAAGAACTTGACAAAAGCAAGCACTTAGACACTTGATTTACAAATAAAAAGGGATGCCAAAAAAACCATGAACTTCCTGTCCAAAAAAATAGTATGAATTACCTTTCCTAGGTAACTTTCAATAACCTTTTCTGCTTTTTTTGGAGCAGTAGTGATGAACTTCAACCTCATATCTGATGTGACTGTTGTTTCTGGAGGCATGTTAGTGCCAGAGAACACTTATTTTCTGCCTCAGAGAGAGAGAGAGCAGAGATTTCTAAGAAATGGGGAACTTTTCAGGACTGATGAAACACTTCTATGAAGATATTTAGCAAGTCTCATGTATGATGCCCAAAATGTTCAGACATCACATTTGATCATGCCCACAACTCTCTTTGGAGCAGATTGGAAGTTTTCAAAATACATGTCATTTATTTTCAAAAACCATGAAACTGGGAGGTAAATCTGACCACACTTCTTAAACCAGATTATTTAAAACTCAAGATGGTGTGTTCTTGTTTTATTAAAACCAGCAATGACACAACATGTAAATATATTTGCTCAGGGAGCAGAATAAAGAAATACAGTTTCTAAAAACTGCCTGTCTAAATTTCCCAGGCTTTTTTTCTCGCACAGGAGAGAATGGGATGAGAATGCCAAGAATGCTCAAGTCAGGGTATGCTTCCTTCCATCCAGGTAGTCTCCTGTTAACCTTGAAGGGGCATGTCAGGGGGCAGAACCAGGGGTGGACAGAACTGGGGTTGGATGGACCTTATTATAAGATCATAGAACCAATGTCTGAAGGTGCACATTGTGTGTATTCCCTGGGCCTCAGGCCTGAGATTAAAGTACCTGCTCTCTTTATCTTATACACTAAATTGGCCTGGAGTCTTTTTTCCCTGCGGTCTCTTAAGGCAACAGCAGTAATAATCACCTCAGGACTTTTTACACAGAGAGTTTGTAGACCTGGTCATCACTGTGTACAGGGGCTTGGTTTTCAGGAGATCAATAACAAACAAATTAATGTTCAGGGATGGGGAGATTTTCACATATTTCCAATTAGCTGTTTTGTAGAAACTATCCAGTGGTGTAGTAATGAAGAATCCACTACTCCAAGTACTTCATATGCCTTATATGGAGGGGCATATTTATATGAATATAAATCCAAGAACCCATCAGGGCTGTGCAGGGAAAGAAGATGCAAGCACTTTCCTGTAGGCTTTTATCCAGCATCATTCTGAAAGGTCTCAAGCCATGAAGCTCTGGTTACTTCCCCGTTGGTTACTTTCCAACAACTAATGCAGAAGGTTTTTTTCCTGATATTCTTTCTGAAAATTATTTTATATATGATTTGCTATAAGAAAAGCCACTCAGACAGGACGGTCTTTTCAGTGCTGCCCTTGAAATAAAATCTCACATTGATTTGTACAGTGGGAAGAGTTTTATATGTGACAGACCAGAAGGATAGCATCCCTTTCTGAACAGAAGTTCTGAATCCCTGTGACTGCTTTCCAACAAGTTCCCCTGCTATACCAAGCTATAGAACAAATAAATCTGATTTGGTTTTTTATCTCAATTATTAGTCTCAGAATTGCTAAATAGTTTACCTGGGTAGCATTCAAAATGCAAAACAGACAGCTGCAAACAAGACTTGTTTTTTCATGACTCATTAACATGAGGTAGCCTATCATCCAGGTGATTCTGAGCACTACAAATGTAGAGAGAGTGCTAATCATCTTTTTCATTAGTGAATCCTTTTTATTCCTACAAACACACACACACAAGTTATTAAATCTTTCTCTATACTATTTAATATCTTTTTGAGCTTTAAACTTTGTATTTATTCAGAGCTGTATTGCAAAGGTATGTTTTTCAGGTGAGTTGTGAGTATACACTTCTCTGTATTTGTCTGATGTATCATCCAGAAAAGAAATCCAGAAAAATAAATGTAACCAAATTTATCAGACTAATTTGTGCTTGGAGCATGCAGCTTGGTTGTATCTTTCTTTAACAAAAAAAAAAAAGTGAGGTTTACCAAGGCAACAAGAAGTATTTAAAATTAGCATTTTAGGTATTATAAGTTTTTTTATAATGCTTGTAACTTCAATCCAAATGTGCATAATTTACAATATAAGAATAAGCTGCCAGTGAAGTTTGAATATCCAGTTTCTCTCAAGCCTGAAGAGACTCAGAGATAAGGTATTTCATTTGCTCCAATCACAAAAATTGTACATAAAGGAAAGAAGAAATGGTACTAAGTTTTTTTGAACAGATCAGTTCCATGGAACTTATAAAAATTAAAGCAGTCCCCTTTTAAATAATACGGTGTACACTGTGGAGTTTGTGACATACAGCCTGTGACAATACATGGAGTGTTGATGTAAAACAGAGCAAGTAAATCTTCTTCAAGGTGCTAGAGAACTGGCCTGGTGTTCAGCTGTGCTGGGAAAGTCATAATTCTCATTTGGCTGGACCCAGCTCTGCTCTCACTTTTATGGATTTAAATTGGGGTTTACTGTCATTGCACCAAGCACCATTACATTTCATACCAGATTGATGCAGAGCATAACTTTTGCCCTCCAAGAAGCATGGCTATGCAGGTTTGCCTCCTCAATGCCTTTGCTTCACTTCTTGTCTTCCTCATCTCCTGTCTGCCTGTTCACTAGGCAGCACATCTCATGGGAAGGAACCTCATTCACAAGTTTTTATCTGGGTAATAAACATGCTTCTTAAAGTCTGTTCCTCCTTCAGCCCTAACAGAGAACTTCCAGGCTGCCAAGCATTTACTGTGCTCTCAAAGCAAATACACAAAGCAGTGAGTCAGAATCACCCTGTTTGGACATGTGTAACTCACTAGTCACAAGACACAGTGAAGAACCTAATGCTGTGCTGTCATGCAAATATACCTGGAGCACAGTGACACGTAGTCAGGCAACTTCCACTGGACATTTTCCAGTTTGTACATATAGTCCAAATTCTAAATGTTTTAGAGGAATTGCCTCTGTAAATGCAAAACATAATAATGAAACAACGAGGGTTGAAAACTGCTTGGTGGGAGCCATCAGGAACAACACACCACACAAGCTGAATACACAACATGGAAAAGGCAGATGTTCCTGTGCACTGTATTACAAGAGTTTCTTGAAGGAAGCTGAGATTTTCACTTTTCAATGTAGGCATCTGTCTGCATTCTTCAGTTCTCCAAGTAGTTCCCTTTCAACTTGCAGTGTTGCTACTAACTGCTGTACTGACTTTAGAATGTGTTGTTTGGTCATTAATAAATAATAGGCAACAAATAATGACAGTCACTCCTTGCTTTTGGATGTATTCAAGGCTCTGGCTGAAGTCACTAGGAACCTCAGAGATATCTAAATTAAGGGGTTTAGTCCATATATGCAATCACCTTATTTGAAAGATTTTTTTACTTAGTTAGCAGAAATAGATTGTTTAATGCCTTGATTACTGTGAAAATTTCTCCTGCACACAGCAGACCTGTGCTGCTGTGCCAGTGACCAAGCTATTGGTTTCAGTGCTGTATCAAGACAATGAAAAAAAGCTCAGTTTATACCAGTAGTGTGAGCACTAACAGAAGATTATTAAATCACATGGCACTAAACCAGAGAGAGACACTGATTCTAGTTGCCCTCTGCTGATCCCCTATCTTTACAACTTTCCCTGACTGCACTCTGTACCGTAAAAGTTGCAATATATACAACTTTAAATCTTACCCCATCCAATTACTGACATGGTTACAAAGAAATGTCCAGGCAGCGGCTTCGTGGCTCTAAGCAACAATAAGTATAATTGTGCAGAATTGAGTGCTGTCAACGTAAATGTTGCCAAGAAAAGATAGCACAGTAGGGCAGCCACAGCTGTACACCAGGAGTCTGTGGGAGGATCTACCGTGTCAGAAGTGAGTAAGGTGTTACTGGTGTTATCATAAGGAAGGTATTGCTGGTGGTAGCTGGTAGTATCACTGCTGTGATTCCTGGCATTATGATTTTCAATTCCAGAGATGAAGATTATGTTAAAAATGAGCATTAAAAGCAGAGACTTGCTAACATTCATGTTACAGATGACTTTCGAGTTTTCCTACTGGTAGGAATATGTTTAGGAGAAAAAAGTAGAGCAAAATAAGAAAAATTGTAAAATATTTCCTCATGTCTATTTATACTAAAAGCAAGCTAGAGAGTACAGCCTTTAACAGAAACCAAAACAATACCTTTTTTTCAAAACTGTATCATCATTACTTTTAGCCAACTTGCCAAATCCATCAGTTTTATCGGATTTCAACTAGAACAGAGAATACCTAGCAACTTTTAGGACTGGGCCTTGTCTAAAAGCAGTTGGGGATGCATTTTCCTTTTTCCACTCTGCTCTTTTTGGAATCCTTTTCTTCAGTGTTAAGAAGTGAAGTAGCATAAAACACATATTTCCCAAACATTCTCCAAAGTGCAAAGAGAATAATAAAACTCTACTTCCAAACTTCTTATCACAGAATCAATTAGGTTGGAAAAGACCTCTGACATCATCGAGTCCAACCTATGACCCAACATCACCACGTCAACTAGACCATGGCACTGAGTGCCACATCCAGTCTTACCTGAACACCTCCAGGGACAGTGACTCTACCACCTCCACATAATATGTATATTATAGATATATTATATAATATATGTATAATTATAATTATATATTGTATAATTATATATAATTAAGATTATAGTTAAATAACTGTATATAATGTATATAAATATATATTATTAAAAACAAGTGCATTTAAGAGGCAGAGTCTGGAAGTTCCTACAGTCTTAAAACATTGACCTTGATGGAATTGCTCAAATCTACATTTGTACAAGTAGGATGAAAAACATGCATTCATCTCTAATAACTACAGCTCCGTTGGCATGACTTTGCTCCTTGTTCAAAGGGGAATCACATGACACCATTAATCACAGGCACATCCATTAAGGAAATTTGTTGCAATCGTGTTTGTATTAAGTCACTCACAATTAAACAGTAGCACAAGCAGTTACTGGCTAGGAGAAAGATAATTGTTTAGAAATTGTAATACAAGGGTACAAGGGGGGTCAAGCTGGTGGTGGAATGCTGTTACACATTTTTAAAGCATAGTATTGAGTGAGATAGTGAACTGAAAAGCTCAAAGTGTATCCACAAACTATATACAGAGCAATGTATTGTAACTTAGTGTAAAATACTTGCAGTTTTACATCTTCCCTCTTACCTAGTGAATATTTGAAACGAAATGGTAGCAATCAGGCCAGCCATGGACAAATCAAGACCAATATAAGAAATATACTCCAAAGGCTTTGCGTATTTATATTTGATCTGAAAGACCTAGAAAACAAATTGTATCAGTTATGTCAGATGAGAAGAGATACATTTCTTTCTGAAGTTTGTGTTTCTAGTTGCACATAAAACCAAAAATGGTTTAGTAAAGTTATGTCTGTTGCTAGCCACTGCCAAAATTTTCAGATCACACAAAATTATTCTGGACTTCGAAACAAGATAAACTTTTGAAGAAATCCAAAAAGAGTTTTAACAGTGTAAATCAAATATTTAGCAAAATAGCAGATTAAATTATTCATAGAAAAATGCAAGGTGACACAAACTGGAAGAAACAGCTTTAACTTTTCATACTGGTGAACATTCTGAATTTCGGCTTCTCGGTCTAAGGTAAGATGTTACAAATAATTATTAATTGAAACCAGTCTTTGTATATTGACAATAAAGCAGCAAGTAAATGTAAATGTATTCAGTGGAACAGAATATACTCTTGCATTTGCATAAACAGATGACAATCTTCTCTAGAATGCAGTCACTTTGTGCCATAAGGACATGCATAAGATAAAGGGAAATACAGAAATAAGTAAATAGTACAAATATGGAAATGCTGTTTTATGAAGACAGAGTAAAAAGAAACTCTGAAATCCTGGCCCTGCTGAAGTTAGTGACCACAGATATCCGATTTTATCCGGGGTGTGTTTTGTTTAGAAAAGCTGAAATAAATACTGAAAGGATAACAAACGTCAGAGACAGACAGTCATTCCCAAATAGTCTTGTTAGTACAAGAGACAAGTGTATAAAACTTTATGATAGCAGGCTTAATATTTACAGAGCAATTGCTTTTTATAAGCATATAAGCAAAGGAAGTAGGTAATGCTAAATCCTTTGAGTTATTTACCCAGCACAAGGCAGTGCCACAGCTAGCCCAGATTCCAGGCTACTCTGCTTTTTTCTGGGGCCACCTTAGACTTTAGATATACCCTCACTTAACAATCAGCTGCAGCAATAGGGGTGCAGAGCCAGGACTTGCCAATACATTTGGCTCTCCAGCAGCTTGGGCACAGCTTGCATGTCACAATTTGCAGATCTGCCACAGGTCAGAAGCAAGTACATGGGGACATCTTAAATTCCTGTGCCTTCTAGCCCAGCGTGTCTATCCCCCTGTATGTCAACATGCTGGTCTTATAGTTAAAAACAACTAAACAAATGAGAAAAAAACCAAAAGAGACTCTTCCCATTAAAAAAACTACAATGTACTACCATCAGGACAGCAAAATTAGTCGTGTGATTACACCTGCATCTCAAGAACTGGTCTCTTCCTTTTGCACAGCCGGCAGTGCTCCAGTCATTGACAGAGTAGTCCCAGAAGACACAGGCATGATCACACAGCTGCAGTTCAGATGTGTTGTACTATGGATTGGGATTTCAAGGAAAAAAAGTGGCTACAGAAACATAAAGAGATAGGCACTAGCAAAGAGCGTGTTCTGACAATGATTTGATTTTAAAAGGGGAGCTGACAGCTACTAAGAGATGCATGTGTTTCCAGTAAACCTTATGAAAGATATCAATAACAGCATAATTTTGCATTTTGAGCTTGCTTTATGTGCCTTTCTCAGCCAAAATTGCCAGTGAAGTCACCCATTTCTGTGAATTATTCAGGTAACTCGGATTCAGATTCCCATTGACTGAGCATTAAACAACTGCCGATTGAATTCTGCCTAAGTCAAACAACAGCTTTCAGAAATCAGTAGCATTACATGACTGCCAACCTGAGCTGAATCCATGCTGTAACAGGAAGCAAACAATGATAAATGCTGTGAACCATCCCCTCCCCTCCTGCATCACAGTGGCACTCATGCAATCATACATCAAACAGCATGCAGTCACTTTCGGACAACACACTTCTTCAGGATACTGCAATTAGAACTGCATTTTAATGAGCAACAAGCAGCTTGAAGTGCAAATAAGAAGCGAACACAACTCTTCACAGTATTAGGCAGCTCAATTAAAAATGAGGAATAATCGTAGGAGTGAAAAAATCAATTATAAGTTTGTTTCAGTAATTTCCTTAGAAATGACACACCTCCCATGTGCTTATACATCTCTGTACTTAGCTGTATGTAACTATATATATCCATACTTAACACATGGTGATGATTATGATCTGTAATATGGATGCACTTGAGCTTAAAAGCTTTGTTAAATATTGTAAGAAGAGGCCAACTACTGTTTTCTGGAGAAACCATGCCAAACATGAATACATATTATCTAAAAATTCGGGGGTTTTGGCAAATGGACAGTTACATAGAGCATTTCCTGCAAGAAAGCATTAACTGGAAACAGTCCCTGGTGGACGAAGTCAAAACAAAGCACACAATGGTTTTAAATGGAAGCCAGAGTTAAAAGATAGTATGAAAGATGAACACCCCCCACATTGGTACGTATATTGGGCCATGCCAGTTTTGTTGAATTTTCTTGTTTTCCAAAGTTTTGGTAGTCTCCTGGAGGAAAAAACTGTCCTCCAGGGACCTGTTTTTTTCATTCTTGATATAAGACTAATGTACCCTAGGACAAATCTGCTCTGGTATACCTGTAACTTTTTATGGAATAGTGTTTTGGGTACAAATGTCCTAGGTTAACAGTACTGAGTTGGCAATATCAGCTGTTAAATAAAGAAGTTGAAAAATGTTTTTTATGCCACATTTTCTAAACACCCTTCATTTATGTCACCTATACATCCCACAAACTCTGTCAATTGCTTATTGCCACAGGGCACTGTGCCAAAAAAAAAAACAACAAACCTCTGCTGGAGTGTCTTTCCATAAGTCCTGAAGACACTTAGTAGGGCTGGTTCAAAATAAACATGGCATTTTGTACAGAGGCTTACCTTGGGACCGAAGGCTATTCCAACACTGCTCGCTCTTTTGCCATCAATGTTGCCAGAGATTATTTGTTTAGACAAACTATTGCAACTCTGATAAATCCTTGACTGGATGAGTTTGTAGTTTTGATACAGGACAAATCCAACACTTCCATTGTCTGATGAACCTTCACAAGGCAAAGAGAAAGGCAGTACAGATAACATATGTCAGAGAAGCTGGTGCTTTCAAAGAAGCCCACACTATGCTGTTTCACACATTCAGAATTTACAGGAATTTTTTGTTTATATATTTAATTAAAATTCATACAAGTAGCACAGAAGAGCTGCTTTCCCATGAACCTCAAGAGACATCTTCAATTTTTGCTGAGGTGGAGTGTGAAAATAATGAAAACCCTTCTCTTAATATCATTTCTGGAGAAAAATACTGCTAAGTTAGGAAAATAATATCCTAAATCCCGATATATACACACACTTCAAATGCTAAGGCTTTTAATAAGACTAAATGAGAAACAGTCACACCAGGGACATTTACAATTAGTGGGAAGTTAGAGGATAAGTTAGAGGAAGTTAGAGGCTGGCTGGACTTTTGCCTTCAGATCCAACTTTTGGACTCTGTTTCTCTTGCACACTTCTAGCAAATTGGAGTTCATCTAAGTGATCTAAATCACTAGTCTTAATTGTTGCTTAAGTGAGGGAGCAGAAATCCCAGATTATATATTGGATTTTGTTATTGATTTTATACTTGAATTAAGATCAAGAGAGACTGATTTGATCTCCCTCTGATCTGATCATCAAGTGAGACTAATGTAGCTTTATATCTACAAAAAGATGCACTTAATATTGAAGGAATCTATTGGGGGGGTTTTAAGACAAGCTGTGCTTTCAATTTAGCTGTCTTGAGGGAAGTGTTATGTTATACTGGTATTATGATAAAGGCTTTAATTACATGATCACAATGTTTTTCCACAGGATTGTTGTCTGAAACAGTGAACAGAATGTACAGTGACCAGATAATGAGCTATCCAGTGATTTTTTTATTGTCGATGCTGGGAGTGTAAGGCTACCTGATTTATCTCTTCAAGTCTTTTCTAACCCTAGTGAGAGGACTGAATTATTAATTTCTCTGCAGGCTTGTATTCAAATGATATTCAGCATTGTGATGTCTAAGTGCTCCCTTAACTTTGCCTTCATTATACTCTTGTGCTGTGATGTCTCAGTGCTGCTGACACTACACTGAGAGACTGAGGACAAGTCTGCTGGTTTCAGGTGCCCAATCTGAAACTCTTGTGATGTCATAGAAATGCACGTTTGAAGCTCAGCTGCCCCACACCCCCCAGCTTCTGAAGCAAATGAAGCAGAGGAACTATAACTTTTTTTTTTCCTTCCTAGTCAACACCAATTTATCCTCTGAGCACTGCAAATAGTAAGTAGTGGACATCTGGAAATATCCCAAGTGCCTGTGCCATTAATGGCTAATCCAATTTGCAGGTATCAGGATGTGTATGTCCTGGCTGACACCTGACAGTAGTAGTAATTTTAGTTGAAATGGTTGATGTCTTCTGATTTCAGGCAAAGTAAGCGTGTATTAGTTCTTGATGTTTGTAGAGGTATGGTCGAAGATTCATTACACTCTCAATTTTAGAAAACAAAACAAATGAAAAAGTCCCAAACACTGAAAGTATTCTGGTCATTATGTGTATGTATGCATTCATCTATAAATAAAATTATCCAGCTCATTTGACATGTGCATTTCTTGTACCACCATATGGCATTAGCAGGCATAAAAACCAACTTGTAATTGCTTATATTGGCTGAGGGGTTTTTCCCCAAAGGAGATTTTTAGTGAATATTCATTCAAAAATTTCCCAGGTATAATTTTCAAAAGGACAAAGAATTTTCTTATACTTAAAATGTTGAACAGTATCTGAACTTCATTACTGAGGTCACTAAGAAGCCCAGGAACATTTTCCTGTATTTCTAGTTTTGTTGACTGGCACTTTCCCAGTGCTGTATCTGCAACAATCAGCAGTATATGCATTAAGATTTATATTTCAAACTGCTGTGTCCAGGTAAATCCAACAAAGGACTTACTTGTCTGTGCCAAAAACAGAATCATAGAGGAGCTTAATTTCAGTGGAGCAGACTGGATTGCAACATTGGGCTGTGAGATGTTGCCAGTCAAAGAAAATTCCTCCACTGTTTTTGTGAGGCTGCATCAAAAAAATGAGTGTGATAAAAGCTACCATTTTTTGTTAATGTACAGCTCCAGGTTCTGTTTCTGAGCTTCCTCTCTGATTTGGTTCTCCAGTGGGAAGTGCTCCTCATTTCCTATCCCCATGCTTTCTCCAAAGCGGAAGAATCCAGCAATGTTTCTATTGCTGTAAATTGGAAATTGCATATTGGAGTTGAATGCTAAAAATATTTTGTCTTGTTCATGAACCACTTTCATCCTGAAACAGAAGGGAAAATGCAGTCGACTACATCTAAAGGAAATGGTAAGAGCTAAAGTTACCCTGATGTAACATTGACAAGGTTACTGTGGATGAATTCTGTTTCATTTGCATCCAAGAGTTGACTCACCGTAGCCATTACTGCCACAGATGCCAGAGACAAGCAGAAAAAAAGGCAATATTCAAATGCAATTGAAATAAATCACCCCATGTGCTACACAGTGGAGGGGCAAGGTAAGAACACTTAACAAGCATTGCTGAAAGTACACACAGTAGAGTAAAAAAGTACAGGAAGCCATTTAGAGAACACAAGCTTTGTACCAATGGATTCATAAATGCCACACTTTTATTAATTTAGATAGTTAGAATTAAATTATTAGCTTAAACATCAAATGATGCTCATATTACAATTTCAAATATATGCAAAATTTACACTCAGCCCTGAGAACTGACCCAGTTCCACAAGTATGCACTCAAGACCACTTAAATAACTTTGTTAAATAGCAAAAAAAAAAAGCATTTGTTTGTCGTGTTAGGTGTAGTTGAGAGGAAGGACGGTGTCTTTTCTGCTGGTGGGGATACAGAATTGATATCCCAATAGTAAGCCAAAAAGCCACACAAGTCTTATATTAGTCCTAAGAAGTTTCACCTGAAAGTCTTCTGAAACATTTAGCTTTTCCATAATCTGCACTGTGACGTTTGCAGCAGCAGTGAAGTTTTGTGTGGTCCGTTGGTCTGGCATGGAGGTGAGGATTTGAGTGTTACTTGCAATAGCTGAAACCTTGCTGGGGCCTGCTTTTCCTGTGAGGGAAATGCCATTCAACAGAAAGAAAATGGGAAAAGGAACAAGAGTCACCACTTTTACAACATTCTCACACAAAATAAAAACATACAAGTAATTGGTCCTCTGAAATGTTTATGTTCATGTCAAGTATGTGGTGTTTACAAATTCTCCCTAGAGAATGATTTCATTAATTCAAGGAGTAGCTTGTGTTGGAAGGGAGCCCTGGAGGTCCCCTAGCCCAGCAGGGGTGGATGAGATGAGTCTGTTCAGGGGCTCACTTTGAATACCCACAACCTCCCTCAGAAAAGTGTTTGTTTGACCAGTGTCAAGGGGAAAAATTTTCTCTTGCCTAATTGGAATTTCCTGTATTTCCACTTGTCTCTGTGGCCACTCATCCTAAAACTGCACACCTTGAAGAACAGCCTGGCCCCATCGTTCTCCACAATTTGCCATGAGGTAACTGCAGACAGCAGCAGGACCTCTCCTTTGTCTTGAGGTCATTGAGATTCTGAGTCTGTGAACTTCTGCACACCTCTCACTATTCCTTAAATAACTAGAATAGGATTTTTTGAAAAGCCATCAGAAGAACTTGAGAAATGTCATCTGGAGCAATCATGCCTCTCGACACAGTGTTTGTAACCTGCACTGAGGACATTATTCTAAATTCAGTATATTATATATAGTGTCAGGTTGGAATAAATGTAGAAAAAAATCAAATAAAATATTTTGGTGCTGGAGGTACTAATAAGAATTGCTGTAAGTACTGGCTAGGTCCAGTTTTAGTTAGTTAGCACTTAATGGGTAGAGCGTAAATGTCTATAGCATCTCAAGAGTCTAAACACAAAAAAAAGATGAGGCATTAGCTATATGATATATGAAGGTATAGCTAGGTAACAATAAGATTTAAAGAGACAGAAAATCTGCTAAAATAATCTGTTTTCTAATCCTGTCAGTGAATAGTTTAATTGAATAGCTTCAGTAACTGAATTTTTCTCAAATTGTTTATGTTGGGAAGCTATCAAGATTAATTCAATCATGTAGTTTTGATGTGTTTGTAAAGCTCGGAATGGTTGAAAATAAAGGTGAATGTGTTGCATGGGTAGGAAGGAAATTTGCACTTATAGTTACTGCAGATTATATTGTTTGACTTGAAAACACCTGCATATGCATCACAAACAAACAGTGCATCATGAACGCCTGTTTTCACTGTTCTGACTTTTAGCATGACCTTTGACTCAAAATAAATATTTCTGTTTAAAAGGAATCAATCCTTGTAAACCTTGGCTCTGGGTCACTGGCATGAACACCTCCTCCTCCCATTCCCTAGCTCCCCGAGCGGCCCTTGGCTCACTAGATGGCAGCCCGACATTACGGCTCCCAGTAAAACCCCATATTACTGATGTCAGAAGAACAACCTTATGTTGTAACTTACTGGCATTAGAAATAGCTACTGCTAATATTATATATTAGTTTGAACCATTTAGTGAAGGCTATGTACTGCAAAAAATGTAATATTGAGCTTGAGGGTCTCCCAGCAAAGGATCAAAGCAGGTGAAGCATTGAGTTGAAGGTACAGTAGTCAAGCAAAAATGCACAAGGAAAGGGACTTCTTTTACTTAAAGGGATTGTAGCTGAGGGGGAAGGGTTTTGTTTTTTGGGGTTTTTTTCCGATTGGGACTAGTGATAAGGAAATGAAACACAGAAGCAGAAGAGAAGTAGTCACTGTGATGTGCTTAGTCATGTTCAGCTCTCCGTGTTTTGCAGATGTAGCAGAGCTAAATCTTTGAGCGAGGCTTAGGGGTTTATGGATTTAGGGATTTTATGTAAGGCATTCATACAAGAGAGTTTAAATTTGAATTCTTGAAGGACAGAAATGTTCTATCCGTGTTCAGCTGATCATAGAGCTGGATGGAAAGGCTTCACTCTTAATCCACCTGAACGTATTGGTGTCAGTGTCACTCTCATGCCAGTCTCCTCCAAACTCCTTGCACGTTCTTACAGATTTGGCATCCTGAGTCAGCATCGCCTCCATTCAGAGGCAATTGCTATAAATTGGGAACCTGAGTGAGGAAATTACAGGCCAGTTAAGAAATATGGAATGGGATGCTGTGTTCAGGCAAACCCAAGCAAAATAAAATAATCACCATTGGAAATTCAGGCCATTTGCAAAGCAGACGCATGCCAAGAATGCCACTGAAAAAGGCTTTGGCCAATATTTTGCTTTCTGTTAAGTCTTAAGAAACATAACATATATATTTCTTGCCTCAATTTCCTATCCCCCCTCTTTTTTGTCCCCTGGGATGATGCAGAATCTCAGACACTGTTTAAATAGTAATTTAATATTACCTGTGATACTAAGGAGTCCAGATTTTCATTACAATTCAGAATTTGGTGAGGCTTTAAAGTAGGATTTTTCCCTTCTCTGGAGCACATCTGGATTGCTATTGAAGCATTACCTGTAATTTTGTAAAAGCAGGAAGAAATCCATTTAGTACAGAAGCACTCGCACATGCACATGACCTCATTGGGAATTAAAACTGTACTGTGGGTGTGACACCCTATCCAGTGTTATTTTCTGCTTGCTTGTGAAAATTTATCTCTCAGTGTTACAAGTGACCATCAATTATTTAACTAGTTGTTGTTCTCTTTAGAATATGTGTTTTACATTCATATACACAATCTTGTCAGAGCGGCTGACATTCTTTATGTTGAAATAAGACAGGTTTAGTTGTGCTAGAGCTGCAGAAACACCTTTTAAATGGGAGACACCAGCATCAGCACTGAAATATCAGACAGATTTTAACATGTCTTGAAAAGCATAATTTATACGTTATGAAAGAAATGCAACGGGCACATGGAACAGCCATGCAACACTTACTCCTCTACAAGGTCTGTGAAAGCTGAGACAGTTCATGGAACCACAGTTGATGTAAAGCATCCGGAATCCTAATGCTAAATAGTAGGATACAAACACGTTGTTTTTCTATCAAAAGGCTCTATCTGCTCTATCAGGAGCAGATATTAACTGACCCTAAGCCCACCCCTAGACAGGCATGGATCTGACTCAGCCTGTGTACCTTAAATTCTCTGCATTTGGGATAGAAAGCCATGTGGAAAAGTTCGTGTTTCTGCTGCCTAAGCTGTGCAATTCTGGCTTGAAACACAGACTTTGCATCTTGTCTAATAATCCAACATTTTTCACAACCTTTACATTCACTTTTAGGAACTAGAAGCAAAAGGAAAGAAATGCATACCATTCACAGCATCGGGTTCACATTTTCTTTGGAGTTGCCATACTTACCCACTATGATCCATTCAAAAGTAAGGGGTTTTCTATTGCTTGCAGAAATGTTCACTGTGCTGGTACTGTCGTCACAAAAATTAACTGCACAGAAAGAAGAAAATAACCTATATCCAGATGAAATATTTCTAGCACAAGGATCAGTTTTCAAAAATTAGGGAGTGTTGAGACAATAGAAGCTCATTGAATCTTTTGCTCTAAATTAAATAAAAGCAGTTGGGTAAATCCTGTCTAAACCCAAGCTGCTGAGCTGCCACAAGTGGTATTTATGAAGTCAGTGAAATCTTAAAAGCCCATCCTCTTTGCCATCTCTCCTATTTTCACTGCTTTGGTCCTCAAAAATTTGTAAAATATTATAAAGCTTCACTTTCAGTGTCTTAATACCCAGGCAGAAACCAGATTTGGTAACCTACTGCCACAGAACACAGCAGGTGGCAAAGATACACGTTTGCTTCAAATGGGGCTTGGACAATTGATGGGGAACAGTTGTCTGGTGACTCTGAACCATGATGGGTCAGACGGGACTTCTGGTTCAGGAAGTCGCTGTCCTGCTGGCTGCTGGAATGGGACAGAATGACCACCCCAAACCCTACACCTTGTCTAAGCACACAACACTGGCTACATTTAAAGGCAGGATGATGTGCTCAGTTGGACCCATGGCCTGACCCAGTACAGCAGCCTATTACAATCTCAATCATACCATACTGCTGTAACGGAGCACGAATTTACCTTGTAAAACTACAAACACTTGGAGAAAATATTGCAGCACACAGGCAGAAAATTTTTGCTTCATCTTACAACTTGCAACATCTTGGTTTCACTAATTTTTGCTGATTCAGACCACATTTCAGCTGACTGTGTCCCATTAGCAGGACTGACTCAAAGAAGCGTATTTATGGTCAGGGTCCTGAGGGGGGCTTAAGACGCCTGGAGTGTTCTCCATATTCTGGCACAGGCTTTTTTGCTAACTCACATAATTTTCTGTATTATTTTCTGTAGGGTCTGTTTCCCCGTGATACAATGATACTTTCCTTCTACAGAAATTATTATGAACAAGAAGGATGCATGATACTGCAAAGATGAGGTCTGCCTTATAGCACCATATCTGACCCTTGCTTGCCAGAAGGGGGTTAGCAGGACAAGGTGTCAAAAATGTGGGGTGGAAGGAACCTCTGGAGGACATCTAGGCCAAACAGAGGCTTCACATCCTCATGTTGCAGTGTTGCAGTGACATGTTGCAGTGACACGCTACCTTTTTAAACCAAACCATTTCTCTTCATGCTCAATCTCAGCCATCCCAAACTGTAATTTATGACTGTTGCCTCTTGCTTTCCTTTTGGTGTTACTGAGAAAGATTGGTCTTTGCAACTCCCACTCAGCTGAAGATTGCTTTTAGCTCTGCCCTCAGCCTCCTCTTCAGCACAGTGAACAAGCCCAGCTCTCTCAAGTGCTCCCTGCATGCCACCTGTCTGAGGCCCCTCACTGTCCTCAGCACGTCCTGTTGGACCCTCTCCAGCTTCCCTAAGTCTGATTAATCTGTGTTACAGGTGGCAAAACGAAACACCTATTTCCCAGTGATGCCTCACCAGTGCCAGGAAGGGGAGAGTAACAGTGTCCATTGACCTGTCTGCTTCCACATAACATAGCTGCTCTTCTGTTGGGAGGAATGAAGACGAATGGCAACGTTATGAAGCCTGGAGGAGAGTTTACAACCGCTAAATGGACACTTATATACTGGACTTGACTCATTTACACTGGATATGACACCCCACGAATATGACAGTTTTACCCCAGTTCTCCCCAGTTTATTGTTATAATGTTATGCGTTTCTGTATACCCCCAGTTGTTGTTTTTTAAATTGTCCTCCATGTTGTCTCCTTCTTCCCCTCACAATTTTCCCGCCTTTTCCCTGTTTTCCCGCTCCTCTGCCTGCCATTGGTCAGCATTTGGTGCAGTGCAGAGGTAGCTGTCATTGGTCCATTCCCCTAGTTACGCCCAAACTCCTCCCCTCTTTACCCAGTTATCCAATCACCTTTATCCCCAAGTTGTCAGTCTCCTGCTCCTCCCTAGCCCAAACTCCACCCTCAAACCTACCCTATATAAGTTGTTGTTCCCTCAATAAACTTTGGCATTGCACCTCGACCTCTATCTGTGTCAAGAACCCTTCTTTGCAGTGCTCGACCCCATTCCCTTTTTCCCCGCGAGTCGTGGCACTCTTCTGCCTTGGCAATGAACCACATGCTCTTGGCTCGTATTGAACTTGGCATCCATCATCACTCCCAGGTAGCTTCCAGCAGGCCTGCTCCTCAACCAGCAAGTTCCTGGTCTGTACCAATGCACAATCCAATGCACGGAGATCAGCACTTATTCTTGTTGAACACTGTGAGTTTTCTGCTGGAGTGATCTTCAGGTTTCTCAAGTTCTTTTGCATCGAAGCTCCAGCCATGCCCCAGTCTCAACCATAGCCTCTATCCACCCACCAGAACGTATGATGATTTTTATTCCGTCTTTTGGCGGAAATAGTAAGTTTTGTTCAAAGTCGTCATTGCACACGCTGCTGCAGCTTCAGGAAACAAAAAAGCACAGTCTAAGCAATATCAGGGAAATTGCAAATCTTAGAAATTTTTCAATATATTGTGGTATTTGTTGTGTTCATCAAGCTCTGAAAATGTTAAGGTTTTTTAAAAAAGACTGGAAATCTTGAATGGTTGGGGGTATTCTGCAGCAGAAATTTTGGTAGGGAAGGGATTGGTGGACCTCAGGCTCTGAAAGATGGATCCAACATCTGGGGTATCTCCAGAGACCTCACAGTCAATCTCACCTGGTCTCTAAGTGAAGGATGGAGTTGGAGTCCCTTCCAATAATGTTCACAGTGGATATTGCCCACCTGTGCCCTGGCTGCAGTGTATGCCTTGGAAATAATGCAGAAAACTGGAGTTGAGGACTGCCATTTGATCTGACATTTTAATGCCTGTGTTTGGAGATGCTGACAAGCTGAGTAAAGCCAGAAAACTCAAAAGTAAATAGCACTACCAGGAACATGTGCCGTTGTATATTTCTAATGTTCTCACTGAACTAAAAAGATTGCCTAACTTCCTACTCTTTAATGGCATTCGTAGAACTGGAAGATTATTGCAAACTATAGGGGCTGTGCCACGTGACAGTGGTAATTCTGTCCTTGGCACACATTGTTCAGCTTTTGCTCATGTTGTTGCTATGTAGCAATTGTGTTTCAGGCTGTCTCAGCTACACTGCAGCCAGATGTGTGTGATGATAGTGGAATAACATCTAAATGTCGTTAGGTAATGTCCATATTAGCCATCAGCTTTTCAAAACACATTGGCTCTCCACTGGAAATCTTACAGAAAACTCCTCCAGCAATTGAGATCTGGGTCACCCAACTAAGCAGCTGTGGAGAACATTTGTTTCTGTGGGAGCTGGTGCCTGGCTGGGCAGTGTTGCCCCACTGCTCAGCAGCACTGTCTCACTTGCCAGGAACAGGCACAGGCACATGGGGCCATATGGCATAGGACTGACACTGCTTTGGATTGGGAGCCTGGGAACCCACAGGATACAGGGGAAGCTGCAGCACAGCTCCAAGCCTCTGTCTTGCTTGGTGAGCACCTACCCAAAACAGCCAGGGAGACAGCTGGGTAATCGGGCACAGAGGATCCCAAAACCAGGAAGGCTGCCCTGAAAACACCCGAGCCCTGGGCTGCCTGCTGAGGAGCAGTAGCAGATGGCTGGGGCAGCCTCAGGTGGGAGCAGTGGTGGCAGTGCTTCCACAGCTGGGCTGGGGGCAGGGGTCTGGCTTTGGCACTGTTAGTCATGGGCTTCAAAGGAGTGTAAGGAAAGGGAAAGGTGAAAAGGAAGACAGGGCTGACACGTCTTTGAAAGAAGCAGAACAGAAAAGCAGGTAGATGTGGGGTAAAAAGCCCTGTGTTTACCCCTGGAGGTGCAGACACAGCTGCCATGAGGCCCGTGCAGCAAAGGGCAGCAAAAGGCATCAGTCTTATCTTTGCCTTCCCCAACAGAGGCCCTCTGTAACAAGGTGACACTCGTAGGATCTGTTAATCCTAGTTGAAGCTCTGCCTCAATTTAGTGCTTCCTGGTAACTTTTCTTAGCCTACTATTCAAGGTCTCATGTAGCCTTTTTTTTTTTTCAAAGAGAAATCTGTGTCCTTCCTGAACATAAATTCCTGAGTTGACTAATGCATTTATATCTACTACACACACAGTAAAACTCATCAGGCTCCAGTAATTGTGGCATTAGCTTAAAATCACAGGGTTCTTCTGGCTTTAAGATTCAGAGAACATCTTCTTTGCCTTTGTCTTTTAAATTTTGCAGACATTGTTAATCTCAAGAATCCCATTGATTTTTGACCATATGTATTTCTAAACTAAAACTAAACAATTCTTGCATAATACTATGTCACCATGAGTTCATTGTTGATGCTAATACTTGTGGTTAAAGTCTGAATAAAGAAACACTACCACTATGCACAGCAAGCAATGCATCAGAGAGGCAAGGAAGTGTTCTGCAGCCCTGAAGTAGCTGCAGCTGAAATCCATTTCCTAGCAGCTCATTTGCTTGCAGTTCTGTAGATGTTAAGCATAAGCAGAGGTATCCCCATGCTGCACTGAGGGTTAACTCCCATCTGATCTGTTTAGCTCCAAGTCAAACAAAGCTCTGAGCATATACTTATATTAGCAAAGGTAGATTATTAATGACATATGTTAAATAATCGCTGTTTACTTTTGTGTCCCTTCTTGGGCTTGGGTATGTTCAATCCCTACAAACATCCGATAAATCTCTTGAAGTCAATGTAACCTAATGTATCCTCATATAAACTTTTCTTTAGGTTTCTTGGTCTCAAATCATATCTGACTCTCTGCTGGACAAGCAGCCAGGAGTATTGGATTCTTTCCAATATAGGTCCATGAAAAATTTTACGTCACAGAAATAGAGTGAGTATTTTGCTAAGAGGAAACACTGACCAGCTTTCTACTCCAAGTTTGCACATGGAAGTGTTTTACAAGGGTGCATTGACCTGATTTTCAGATATAGAATATGCAAATCTCTGATATTCTTTCAATAAACTTTTCTGTAATGCAAATCACAATGAAAACATGAACAGGTGCTGTACAGCATGTCTTGCTTATATGCATGCAAACATATAAGCATATGCAAAGTGAAATATTTCCACTTTAAAATGCAATTACTAGGCTAGATGGAAGTTTATTTTTGTCTTTTTAAAAATAAATCAAATTTCTACCAGAAGAGTGAGAAAATTTCAAGACATTTCTCAAAGTTATATCAGAGGATTCATGATCAGTGTACAGATGTTACAAGGAAAACACTCCTGCGATTGCTTGTCATCCTGTTCTGTTTTACAACAGCATACAGAATTTGGGGTACCTCATTAAATATCAGTAGAAGAAGAAAAATGTTTGCACGTGAGAAGCATGCAACATGGATATAATAATGTTCGTCAGCAATTATGTTTAAATATTTAAGGAAATAGTTCAAATGGGGTAGAATTATGTTTCTTACCTGCTTTAAACCTGAGGAGCTCTCAAATACACAGTGCCCAAAGGGTCACAGTCACTACACAACAGGTAATTCCAACAAACATTCTGTCCAAGTGAATGGAAGGCATGTTGTGGAGCAGACTGTGTGCTATGCTATGAAAAGGTACTATACATTCACAATCTTGTGATGGATAAACCATTAACTGCTTGTCTACTGATGAAACTTTGACCTTTTCCATTCCACCTAGGAAAAAAGTTTTGGCATGTGTGTGTATTACCTCCTGGGAACTGACTCAGACCAGGCCTGCATATAGTCTGGGGAGGGGTGTTGGCTGGCAGAGGATGAAATCGAGCCAGGCACTGTTTCTGGAGCTAGCACACAGGGATTAGTCCCTTTTGGCCTCAGTTCATTTGCTAGCACAGCCATAACCACCAGGCTCTGCAGCAAGGTGGCCACGTGGGACCAGGGAGGATGCTGTGGGAAGGTCTCTCCTCTGCAGAAATGTTCCTCTTGGTGCTGAAAGGAGGTGGAAATGCTGTCTGTATTAGGACTGGCCCAGGGCAGGCACTTGGCACACACTTTCAGGACAGTATACGGCATTTCCATACTACATAATTTGAACAGGCAGTGCAGAGCCTTCTTGCATCCCCTCTGTGCACTTCCAGCACTATATATGGTCACTCAGAAGGCAGTGGCACAACTGGGAAAAAAATCTGCATGGCACACCTGGGAATTAAATCTGTGTCTTCTGATTCATCCAGAAGAGAGCGGGGAAGCAAAAGAAAATGGGTAAAAGGCAAAAGTAAAATGTGAAGGGGGAAGAAAATTTATACCACCCGAGCTGCCAAAATCAGCATCTTTTTCTGCATACTAGTGTGTATCCTGCTGACAAATTCAAAGCTAAGAGATGATATCACAGTCCAAGAGAAGAAGAAAATAGAGTTATTTTAAGAATGAGTTGGAATAAACACTGTCTTTTTTGTCATCAGCAATCAGTGGATTAATTCCCCATGTGTGAGTAGGGACAGTACCTTGTTTTTATATGGTGTTTTTCATTAGTGAGGAAAGGAGGTTTGTTTGGCTTTTTTTAATTACTGAAGCAATTCCTTCTCAGTTTAAAAAACAAGGCCCAAAAGGTGATGTGACATGCCAAAGATGTATGGAAATGCAGTCAAAAAAAAAAAGGCTCAGGTCTCTTGGGATGTGGCCCAATGATCTAGACACTAGATACTCCAAATACTTCTGTTAATACTACTAGATACTACTGTTTCTTTAACACATTACAGATTATTATGATGTTTTTTCTTCTTACCAAGAGTAAAGATAAGTAAGATAAGTTATACATTAAATCTTCTTCGTGGCAATCTGCAAGGTATTAATAATAATACTCATGTTCATATTCAAAGAAACTGATACAGAAAATAGAAAAACACATCTAATGTTTAGTGATCAAGACATTCCATATTGAAGAAAGCACCTAAGGACATAGGAAAGACTGAGGAAATCCTGAAATAATTTGATTACTTTTACAAATGGGAGTTCCAAAATTGTTAATAAGCTTCTTCAGACAGCCAAATGTCTTAAGTGTCTGCTCACAGAGGTTTTAGTTAAAGACAGGCTGTGCAACTACTGGGACAAACCTCCAGGTGGGACAAGGCTGCCTGCTGTCCCTCTGGGTGCAGCTTTGTCCAGCTGTGGGTCTGCCTGCCTCTCTGTGGTAGCCCTTGTGTTACGACAGTGCCTCTCGCCCTAGATCTTTCCTTTCTCTATGTTATTCTCACTAGCATGGAAAACAGAGAGGGGAAAATATCCTCAGTGCTGGGATCAGCACAGAGGCACAAGGAGGGCACAGGAACCGTGACACCAGCTGATGAGTGGAAGTCTGAGGGTGGGAGGATACAGCTGTCTCCTGGCCATCAAGGGGCCATTTGAGCCTTTTCCCGGCCACAGAGGGGCCCTTTGAGCCTTTTAACTCAGCAAAGTGATGGTTGTATGGCCCAGCTATCTCACTGCTGTCAAACTGTGCAAAACAGCAATGCTCAGCTGAAGAGAACATCTCCTCCTTGTCCTGCTCACAAAGAATGCTTAGGACCCTTGCACGTGTTAATTGCTTTACTGCCTCTCGCCATAAACAGTTAAATGTTTGTTTTTCTGTGGTTGAAAGGGACAAGAATGTAAAACTGAATCTGAGACACACGGGAAGATGCTCATCCCTGAGCAGAACTAGTACAGACAAAGCAGAACCAAAGTGTAATTTGGATCTTGCGGATGGGGGAACTGAGTCACAGAGTAGTTCAGTGACACTACGTTATGTTACATCCATAAGCTTATCTAAGCTAAGTCTGAGGTTTGCAATATATTAAAAGCATATCCAGCTTCTGAATCACAGGTCTGAGTGGTTTGCTAATAGACATGCTGCTAGATGATTGCAGATATTTTTAAATGACAAAATAGGAAAGAAATAGGAATTAATTCTCATGGTTATTTACATTGCTGTTTCTGTTCAATGGAAACAACATCCCTTCTTCTTTCCTTTTCATAGCTGTCATCACGGATGTCTTTGACCAGCATGTTGTGTTTAGATATATGAAATATTGTAAGTCCAAAACCTTTGTTTGTAAGCCCAGGTTTGCAAATGGAAGACAATTTTTTAACTGGGAAGTTAAAGTAAGATTGTGAGTAAAAATGATTGTGAACTTCTAACTTTCCATTAATGTTTTATATAAAAATTAGGCGGGAAAATGGCATAAGAAATCAGATGGTAAAACCAACACGAATCAGTAAAAACATTTTGAAAGATAGTACACTTTTATGTATGAAAATATTAAACCATGTTTATATGATAGAATAATCAAACTGAAGGGAAACCTTAATACTTGCAAATGTGTATATGTGATGCAGCTGCAGGGAAAAAAAACCCACTCTTGAGTGACTGGATATGCTTCTTTTGCTTTCCTCCATTTCTTTTAAGCCTTAATTAAAGCCAGATGTTTCTTATTGCCTTTTTTTCGTTGTTTTCAGGCATGCACAAAGTGCTGTGCCAGCACTAAACACCATCTCTGACTTTTTTTTATGTGTCAACTGCATCTGGCTGAGTCAGAGTCACAGACCAGTAAAATCCCAGCAAAGCAATGCAAGCTTTCACTCCTGCTGTCATTCCTGTTGAGAGCGGGAAATTGGCATTGCTCTTTCTGGGATTGATGCACAGGAGCCATAAAAATCCAGCGTGTGCCTGAGAACCTTGCCACTGGCAAATAACGCTGGAGGCAGACTGGAATGCTGTATACTCTGAATGCAACTGCCCCTCCCATACTCTTAAGAGCGCTGGGAGTGATTTCTTGTGCTTAGTTGCTATTCAGTTGTATAGAACTGCAGTCTGTTTTCTATTTCTTCTTTGTCCCCCTCAGGGACTCAATGGCTGGTAACTACAGCGTGTAGAAGTAACCATTTCTGCTCCAATTTCATGCCCTTACTGTGACATTGACCTCTTAGGTGCCATCTCCGGCAGAATATTTTGTCAGTAAATGGCAGTGGTCTGTATGTGAGAGCTTTCTTTCCAAACCAAATTGCAAAGTACTAATGCTGTAGTATTTATAATGATGTTTTTCAACTACTTTGTAAAACTTATTTTCATTCTAAGAAGTGTATCAAATATAGAAATCCATGAACTGCAACAAATACCTAGCAAAGAGATAGAAATTACTGTTCTAAAAAGTCATCCGAGGACAAGTTATGACTTACTTGACAAATATTAGGCTTTTTACTCCCACATATTTTGAGCAGGCACATATTGTACCTAGAATAGATTACAAGGAAAAATTTTCCAGCAGTTTTCCAGTTGTCTTTCTCCCTTTTAACAGATGTGCTGTTGTTGCACAGTCCTTGGGAGTCAGGCTTGCTTCAACTACTGTATGTGCTAAAGGACTTTTTGGATAAAAAACTCTTCTGTTTTCTTCCACCAATTTTTGTACCAGTAACTCCCACTCCAACTGCTGTAGTTCAGAAGAACTGAAACATGTAGCAGGAGGGCATTAAGGTACCAGATACACTGAAGTTTTCTGATGCCTCAGTTTTAAGGATGATGAACCTGTAGGATTTAAATTCCTTGCTGTCATATTTGCTCTTAGTTCAAGCTATGTTTAGTTACAAGGAAAAAAGTATTTATTTACAGAATACAGAACAAATATCACAGTTTCTAATGACAAGGCAGTATTGACCTTTCTTGAATTCAGGTGAAACTTGTTCAAATGTCTGGGTGGGTTAAGAGAGTAACCTGTATATCCCACCCCATCCTGTGCCATAAATGGTTATATTTTTTCCCCTGAAAACATGACAAACATCTTACATGAATAAATCAACTTTATTTAAATAAAATTACAGGTGCATCTTGTCTACTAAAAACTACCATATAGTTTTTCAAAGGCTCTAATATTCAAAAATAATTTAAATTTTCTTGAGAGCAGCTACCTTTTTCTGAGTGGTGTTTGTAAACTTGTTAAACTTCCCTCCCCTCATTCGACTCAAACAATATCTGTTGCTAATGAAATGATGGAGGCTGAACCTTTTTCATTGTAATAGCTCCCACACTGTTCCTGGGAGTCTCTTTTGAACATGGATTGAGAAGAACGGGTCGGGTGTCCTATGTAGCAAAAACTCACCCTGAAATAGGGTGTTTCTTTCCTTTGTGGCACCATAAATACATCAGGCACAAAACCCCACTATGACACTGACTCTGCGTGTACTCTAAGTATTATAAATTAAATTCACGAGCCTACTGCTTCTTTGAGACTTCAGTATCTGTTTTCCCTTGCATTTCTTCAAGTTAATAATTCAATGCCACCTTCTCTAATGCAAAGAGAAGAGAAAAACTCAACAAAGCAGAGGGACCAGATCCTACAACTCTCATTCATCTACCACAGTCCAGCTCTGCATTCCCTTAAGAGCATGTGGAAATATTTGAGTAACAGAAGAAACACCCATTTGTAGCACCAAACCTGACAAACTGGCACTATTTGAACAGAATTTGTTGTCCTGCACTAGCATGTGTCTGAAAAAAAATCACAAAATAAAATTTTTTAGAAGGAGTTGTGAAGGGGAGAGGCTGTTTTCTGGCACGACAACCTTACCATGGCCACCTTACTGCTGATGGACATGTAAAATGGCCACCAGCATGCATCCCACGTCAGTCCTCTGGAAAACAGAGCTGTGCCACAAGTTGCCCATGCCAGTCATTCAAAAGACATATTTAGAGTCAGAGTGATGCTTTGAAAGTGTGCCCCTTAGGGGCAGTGTGCTTTTGTACATCATTTTCTGATGTCTTTTACCACGTGCCAGTTATTTCTCTTTTCTTGAAGTTGGAGTGCATTCCATGGAGCGCTGGGAAGAACACCCTGCTTTTCACTAGGTCGAGACTCAGTTTTAATGGAGAAAATTAATGCAACTAAAACTAGTATTATTTTTTAATTCACTTGCTGCTGTGGATAGTTGGGCATGAAGCTTCTCTGACAGGAACATCTGCCTCCCCTTCCCCCTCAGCTCACTGTGCAGCACTGTGCAGACTGCCTGGTGACTGCAGGGGTGACACAGGGAAAAGGATGCAAAACCATCTTATCCTGCCCACAGATCAGCATTATCCACTCCTGACCCAGGTTCTGGGTCACATGTCTGCTCTGAATCCTGCAGAAAACCACTGAACTTCACCAAAAGAAAGGAAATAACTTTGGGAAAGAAAGTTTCCTTCAGCTGCTGCCTGACTGAACATCTCTCAGCCTTTCTGGAAAAAAAGAAGTTGCTCCAGAAGCCAAGGGAAGACAGAGTCACTTCCACTACCTTACAAAGTCAAATGATAGCAAAAAGACAGGACTGTCTAGGCATAAGAATGAACAACTGCAGTGGGTTTTGATCATCACACACCTCTTTGGTCCTCCTACTGATCTTGGTAGTGTCTCTGTAGGAGTGAACACCTTACACATTCTTCAAGGAACCATGAATGGGTTCGCAGTGAGAAGTTCTTTCTGTTTAACATAAAACCCCAAGCAGAGACATAAGGCAAATGGAAGATTCTGGGGTTTTTATCTTGTTCTACTGCTTTCCAGGTCTGCACAGTTATTTATGCACAGTTACTTGCAGGGCAATAAACATGCATATTTGAACACCCTTATGTTCAAATTATGGAAACTTAAAAGTATGTTCAGTGGCGACTGAAAAACATTTTGCTTAGCTTTTAATAAGGCAACATGCAGACTTCATTGTGCCACCTCATACACTCCAAGTCAGTCTAATATTAGTTGGATTTTCTTTGAAGCATGTAATAAGCAAGGTACTAGTGCAACCACTGCAAATTGATACCAAGCTTACCCTCCAAAAACAAAGGTGTAACTGTGTAGATGTAGACATCATAGGGGAATGATAATTGCATAGCAAGTTGTAGTAATGAATGAACAAGATGGCAAAAAAATGTAAAAACAAGGTTATTAGCCTAATAGTTGAGCGGGTAAGGTAGTCAAGCCATATTCATACTAAATTTCATCTTCTGACTCATGATCTCGTTCACATGTTTTCAGTAAACCCATTTCCATGGATTGGGACCGTTTAACCTTTGAACGAACTGCCCTGGAAACAACAACAAAAAAAAGTTGTCAATAATAACACAAAGGCTCATCTGACCATTTTTACGTGACAAAAACGTGTTTGACTCTTGCATCTCATTAGCGAGTTAGGATGATTAATTTATAAAGGTTTGTAGTGGTCCATGGTGGAAGACATCCTAAAGAGGAAACAGTGACTTCAAGCAGAATCCAGGCAGAATTTAACCATAGGCCTTGGTTGTAGATACCTTTATGCTGGTGCAAGTGACTACTGTACAATGCAAGCATTTACATGGCATTCAAGGCCAGGTTGGATTGGGCTTTGAGAAACCTGGTCTAGTGCAAGGTGTTCCTGCCCATGGCAGGGGAGTTTGAACTACATGATCTTTAAGGTCCCTTCCAACTCATTCTATGATTAGTAAGTATTGTCTTTAATGATACCACCTGACTGTACTGCTGGCAAGAGCTTGTTCCTATGCACCTAAGAGCACCTTAAGCAAACCTCAGTGTACCATCTAGAAAGTTCAGTGCTGTGCAGGCACAAGACCAGTAGCTGTGTTCACTCGGCAGAGTACTATAAAGCTGTGAGAAAGAGTGAGTCTGGCCAACCTACCCTTGGAGGGGAACTCTGTTCAGCGTGACCAATCTCATCTGAGGCCTCATCTGGTGCTGCAGCAGCCACTGTTCCCAGCATCAGAAGGGATGTAGGATTGCTGCCACTTTCTCAACAACTGCCATTCTTTACACAGCAAACCAGTCACCCAGCCTTGACTGTCAGTGCCTTTCGGACTGAGATCCAAAAAGAACTGGCACCTCAGTGCAAAGCACCTCTGCAAGACCTACATATGGCCAAAGCATGACTAAACAGGGTTATTAGGATGGTAGGGGTAAAAGTAAGGGGTAAGAAGCACGTTTAGGACAGTGCAGGCAAAGGCTTGGTAAGGTCCTGTGGGCAGAAGGTGATCCCACTTTCTGATGACCTCATGGCAGAATCAGGCTCATTTTTACAGCCAAATTAACACTGCAGTTGGGTGGCAAGGAAAAGGGCTAACTTTAGACATTAGGGGTTGAAACTGGCTAGTGAAAAGAAATCAGGTCTGATCACAGGAAATTTTTAGCAAGGAATCATATATAATAATCTTCAAAGTTAAGTCATGAAGCCTGCTGACTAAGCCATTTGAAATTAGTAGAGATGAGCATCGAGAGAAAAGATGCTGCAGGAAAAAGAAGTCTCTCCTACTTCTAACTTTACAAGCACTTACAAATGTGAAAGACTGTTAGAGTTCATTTTATGTGAGAAGTATTATGCTGTCAGAGCATAGGAATGTTTTCCTCCTTTCTTCTGAAGCAATGATTCATGTGGTTTTCATTGATTAGTAATATCTATTTTTATTTTATCTTGCAAGATAATTAATTTCTGTATAGAAACCTTTTGATTTGTCAGTAAAACTTTTCTAAAATAAAGCTCCTGCTAGACTAAATAGACAGGTCACCAAAGTTTTAGTGTTTCAAGTAACTTACCAGCTGACAATTGTGTAATTCACTGCAAGTATAAGAAAAGCAAAGGCATAATGCCAGCAATAGCACATGGTCAAGAACATCATATTAGTATGATCTGTCTGATTCCACTCTGGGCTCCCATTTGGAGGATAAAGCACAAAGCCAATCTGTAATAAAATAAAAGATATTTAGCACATGTGATTTGATGTGTATCCTATGCCATATATCATGCTTTATGCTACCCATCACAAGGCAGATATTTAATTTTCTTATAGTGCTGCTTATTTCTGTGTTTATTATTAAAAACAGTTTTTTAATCACTCTCAGTCACTCTCAGATGCAATGGATCACTTTACACAGTTCTGTGCAGAAATGCCTTTGAAGATGCAGAGCCAGTCCCAGAGACCCACTGCTCTTGCCCAGAAAATTAAGGACCCTGCCCAACGACCCACCCCTGCAGAAATCACAATTATGTACTGTAAGGAGAGGGGCTGGTGCTCAGCTATGTGTGCTCTGAACTGCAAGCACCTCACCAAACAGAAAACCTGCCCAGCCACTTGCACTGAATCAGTTCTTCCCAACAGTATCTGGGAATGTGTTATGTGGTCGAGAAGATGAATAATGAACGAATAAATAAAGGCGAGCCACAAGTCTATTCCTTCTGGGCTATCCAGGGAAAAAGTCAGGTTTGAAATTACATAAAAATGGAGCTTCCTCATGCAAGACTATAAGTTCTTGTATTTCTGTGTGAAATACATAGCTGATTTTTTCATTCAGAGCTGGGAAAGATCAAATTCCGATTAGTGAATAAGATGGGGAAACTATTAATTCTATGGCTACACAGTGGTCTGGCCCACAAGCACCAGTCCTCTGTACTGCCTAATACTCTTCAAAGTCATCACTCAGCAGTTTAGTTGAGAATTTAGAAGCTGGGAGGAGGAGAGGAAGGAGGAGGGGAGTGGATTTTGCATTTCCATGAAGAGAATTCAATGAATGAGGGTGTTGATGATGCAGAAAGAAAGTCCCTTTACCTTTTACAAATATCCCATGCTGCAGCCAGTGTGTGGTTTTCAGTCACACAGATGGTTGAAGTCTGATGTGGGTGTGAAAAAAGCCACACTTAAATCTCTTGTATTTTTAGTTCTTCAGTTTTTTTACTTTGAAACAAAACCCCCATTGTCTCTAGAGCTAAAGAAATAATCTGTTCTAAAATTAGACTAGGCAGACAACAAAGAATAAATGGTTGCATCTATTCCTCTTATGCAAAACTTCTTAAATTGCCAAAGAAAAGTTTACAAACAAGAAATAAAACAGCAAGTGCTGCAGCACTACATTCTTGAGTTCACTTATAGAAAAATACAACCTACTCAAAGATCTGTCTTCTTGCCAGAGCAAGCATTTAAATATTTGATTTGGTGCTGAATGTCCATTTCTCCTAAGGAACAGCAAACGTTTTTATTCATCATGTCTGGCCAGCATATAAAAAAGGGAAGCCAGTCTAGACATGCTGGAAAGAAAAACTGGTGGAGTGACCTCAGTTCTCCACTATAAGATGAAACACACATCATCACTAGTGCTCTTATTTCTTTGTTACAAGAACATTGTTACAAGAAAAAATTGTCTCAGCAATTCATTGAATCTCTCTCTTGTTCTTATAGCAAAGAAAGGGTCGATATGTTTTAATTGAATAGAATCACAAGGAAGGGAGGGCATGGAAGCTACATTTCGAAGAGTCCTTTCAGGAGCCACATCCTTGAAATATCAAAGTTTTGGCTGTTATTTTTTCTGCTCAGTTCCCAGAGCACCAGAAAAACAGGAGGCTTTCTATCCCCCAATGTCTTAACATGGGTCGATAGCTTAAGTACCTTTTGAGCCACGCAACGTCAAGGAGGCCTTTGCCCCACCTGTTTGGTACTCCTGGGCATCTACTCACTGCTCCAGCAGCTGACAGTGGAGACTCTCTTTGTAAAGAACAGCATGTATTTCCATGCTCTAAAATCACTGCCATTTGGCTGGCCAATCTGGAACAGGATGTTAAAGGGATCAGAGATAACTACATCATGTTAATGACCGTAGTAAGGGAGTGCTCAAGAAAATCACTTTAGCTTTTTTATTGATTCAAATAAAAGGCACTAGAAGTAAAAGGGCTTCTTCTTCTTCTGTAAAATGGATATGAGAAATACTTTTATCTCTTTAAAGGAACATTAAGACTGCATTGTGTTATAAGTCTTTTGAGGTCTGTGTTTAAAAGGCATATATATTACCTGTGAAACATCTGCAAAGGGTTAAATGACTAATTTTGGTGAGGAAGAAATTCCTAAGGCAGAAAAGTGACCTACCTGCCAGAACCAGCTGCCTTGTAATATGCAGAGGCTTGTACGGAGCATTTCCAGCACAATACTGCCACGGAAGAAAACTTCCAAAAATATGCAGGCAGCAGCTCCAAAGATAGCAAATAGCAGTAACTGATGAACATGAACATCCAGCATGGCTCTTCCGTGAAGATGGTAGCAGAAGAGAAAACCTGGAATAAATTGTGATCAGTTTAAGATCTTTTCTTCCCTTGTAATCTCCCTGCATTTGCTTTTAGAAAGCAGTGAAACTTTGGCATCTCTTTTATGCCAGTATCACCTTCACTCACATTGCTTTAGCTAACAAGTTGTGCACCATGCCAGTACACACACTGAAGCACGTGCCTGAGCTATTGAGCACTTACCTGAAACACGCTTGTACTGCTATTTTCATAACATTTCTGTTACTGTCTGAGCCAGTTAGGAAAGCACAGATACACCTTTACAGTGTGTGATCATGATCTGGGCTGCAGTGCAGACAAACCCTCAGCAGTCTAAGGAGAGCCAAGACTGCCCTATTTTGATCTCTTTTAAGTGTTTCAGGGAGTTATACACCCAGCTCCTGTAGGCTTATTCTCTAAGGTGGGTTTGAGATTCCCAGACCAAAGAGCAATACCCACCCACAAGATTCATGCCCATCTCTGCAGGGAGAGGTAAACTGACCTTCAATAAAGACTGCTAAGGAAAGCATCATCCTGTCCATGGCTGCTGGCAGCGCATTGGTCCCATGTGCCACGATGTCAACCAACCCCGAAATGCCATAGAAGAGGTACATGGTGGCATGTTGCCAGTTCATCAAGTGATCCCAGTGCTTTTTCTCATAGTTATACAACTTCAGATGAGGTCCATCAGGAACAAACTGCTCAGCCACCATTCCTGTGCATGAAACGAGAAATACAACCATTTGTGCTGGTGCTTAAGATATAGACTGATGATAAGTCTTTATACAAACAATGTATCCTCATACAGCATAATGCCACTAAATTTTGGGGTTAGTCTGGTTGTTCTGGGTGATTGCTATGTTTTGCTCCCTTCTGCCCAGTTCAGCCATTCCCAATAAAATTTTAACATGTTGTCCCAATTCAGGTGAAAATGCACAGAGGCATCAAAGATACTAATTTTATATTAATTTTCAAGAAAATAGGCAGTGGATGGAGGAGAGATGAAATAAGCTGCTTTGCTAAAGGAAAAACAACAGAGCGAGCTCAACAATATATTAAGCATCACATAATCTGGAGGGGAGAAAGTCAGAGGAAACCAGACTTCAGCTCTGCTCCTGGTGGAACTATTTGCATCTTGCAGTTTCCAGCAGTGAAAATGAAAACAACTATTCTGTGCTGCTTTTTCTTCTTTTAAACAATTGCTATTGTAGAGGTCCTCTAGCTGAATTTTTCAGCTCTTTCCCAGTGGTTCAAATATAACACATGCTAAAGTCTCTAAAAGGAAGATTACCATATCAGTGCCCTGCCACATGCAGGATGACAGAATTCAGACACTTAATTCAAAAGGGATTTTTCCTCTAAAGTCATAAAGGGAAAACCCTCCACCATGCACGGTTATTAAAGGTCCCATGATAATGTACACTGAGTTAATATTTGAGTCACTGCTTCACTCTCTCTCTCCCTTACCTCGGCCCCTTGGTGTTTTGCTAACCAGCTGCAGTACTCCAGCAAGTGGAAAGCTGCTTTTAGATCCTTTCTATGATCCACGAAGTTTACAAAGGATTTAAAATTTGTTATGTTTTTAAAACATTAAAGCTAGTTATGTTGTTTATAAAGCAAGGGCAAGCATCCTGCTGTATAGGCAGATATGCTGCAGAGCAAATGCAGTGTATTTCCACCTTTATTTCAAGTTTTCCTAACATGGCAACAGCAGGTTTTACTCCCTCTGCTGCCTTTACTGTTTATCTTTGCCAAGTGTTCTTGTCCACATTTTTTATTAGAGGTGAAATTACCATATGTTAAATTAATAGCTTTTTGTTTCAGAGAGAAAATAAAACTAATAGATGAATGTTTTAGCTGCCCAACTACCTCTAGACACAGACTGGGAGATTTGTAGAAAAGATGTCCACACTCCCACCTCAAAATGAATGCTAGTATTCAGATTTTTTAATCATTTTTTAAGGCAAATCTATACTGTAGACACAACATCCCTTCAGCGCTTATGTATCTTAACTGATTCAACTCCCAGAGGAGAAGGAAAAGCAAGAACAAGATTTTGTCACAGCCTGCACCTTGATTAGACACCAGGCAACTCTAAGCATCTAAAGAAGAGTAAATAAATAGAATATAAAAGTCTAAAAATACTTAAATATATTTTTCAACTTGACAGCCACAGGTGCTGAGCTCCCCAGGTCCCCTGTTGTTTAACTTACTTACTCTCTAAAAGTAAATTTTTAACATACAGCCTGCTGGAATGTGAAGAAGAACTAGGCACTTCCAGTCGGCTGCACAGCTCTTACAACCATCCCTGTGGGTTTGTACCCAGGCCTGGACAAAACAGAAGGAGAAACAGCTCCCCCACACACACACCACACCTCATTGCCACACTCCTGCAGCAATAAAATCTGGAGGTCAGTCTTTCTTTGTGAATGTTTTCACTTTTGAATGACATTAATGAAAAATCATCTGCATAATTTATCAATAACTCATTGGACACTGAGTCACCATCTGAGATGACTGGATTCAAAATAGAAAAGCCACGCCCTCACAGTCTGGTGCTCCCAGTCTGCATGTGAGAGCCCCTTGCCTAAATATCTTATCTCCCTCCCTGAAGTAGTGAACAGGACATGAACACTGAGATGGACCACCTGTGCAGCAGTCAAGAAGCCTCAAAGAAGCTCCATAAGAGCACCAGGGATGGAAACTATGTTAAAGACATAATTGTGTTATTAATAGCAGCAGCCCCACCACTCTGCAGTGGTTAAAGGACAAAATACCAAAACGCAATGAGATCTGTTTTATCAGAGAACAAAATTTAAAGAAAAAAGTGTTAAAAAGCACAACTTCTTTGTTGTCTGCCCTGAGTCCTCCTTACTTACCAATGAGGGCAAAGACGGCTTTGATGATCCCCTCAACAAACTCCAGGCGCTGAAATCCTGCCCTGGAGCCAAGGTAGCAAGCGTTCTTGTTTTTTCGACAGGCGTACTTCAGTGGATACTTCACGGACCACCATAAGCCAAAAAGAAGAAAAAAGCTTCCAGGGAGGGCATGCCCTTTGAAATTGCCCATGGTTTTCTGCTAGGCAACACCTGAAGGAGGAACAAATGCACACCAATTATGGGAATAGTGGGAGAATTCCGTGGGTTATAATTTTAAAGTATCTCCTTGCGTAGATCAAAAAAGTGTCACTGAATGAAGCTCTCACACTTTATTTAAAAATAAATCTTCTCTGGCTGTTCAAAACACTCAGCCAGCCAGTCTCCCCAGTTTCATAGCTTTGCAGAACAAGAGTCAGACACCCAACGGCAGAGCAGCTGACCTGAAATGCAGCGCTGGCAGTTGGCAAGTTAAGGGTAGAAAAAGCCATAGCACACCATGTCTTGCTGTTGAAGTTGTACTAGTGAAGGAGAGAACACAAATATTCACTATTTGGTTCTTTCATCCTTACAGAGGGTTTTATGTTTTTTTCCTCCACAAAGGGAAACCAAGACAATACCTGACTGAAGGAAAAATGAATTGTATACACTTCTGATTGGTATCTATTAACTAGTAAATTGTATTTTGTATTTCAGTCTAGTTGTCTCGTTTTGATATACAAACATCAAGTAATTATGAATATTTGATAGGCAAATTATGTACCCACAACTGAATACATATTATTGAATACATAAAGTGCACTGAATGGTAAGGTTATTAGTTGGTCAGGATTATATAGTGCTTTAAAAGAAGTGCCATTAATAAAACCTAGTGATTCTGGTCCTCATCCCAACTTTTAGGATAGTTGAACAAATAATTTCTTAATTAAAATTATTCAAATAATTTATTAATTAAAATTAAAATGATTCTTCTAACATTAAATGACAATTTTTCTTGAAGTTATTATAAAATATGTTGTTGTGCATCATGGCCCGAAGGCACACTAAATCTTTGCATGGGTAACAATCAAGAAAACCACTTTAGAAGGATTGCCTGTCTGTACTTCCTGTTATTACTGTTGCTGACCTAAAAATTTAAACGCCACACTGCACTGGAGACATCTGGTTAAGAATGGAACATGGAGGCTCTGGTATATTTTTCTTTTTCGTAAGTATTTCCTATGGTCAGCTCTGCATAAGAAGTTTTAAACTGTGGCTTGTGGGCCACAGAGTACTTGCATCTGGTTCACGTAATGCTGTCTAGTCACGTAGCATGAGCCCTCCCCTATTTCTGGAGGCTAAATTCCACTGAAAGCATTAATTTTATTTTCATTTCTTTAGGAAGAGAAACTTTTCCACATGTCCAGGTCCTGGAGCTGCCATAAGACTATTTGAACTGCATGAGGAGAGGTGACCTATATAGCCACAAAGGAGAAGGAAAAAAAACAAGGATAGCATGAGGCAGGCTGTGATTTAAACAGGAATGCTGAAGAGGGTCCTGTGCCCCCTGACTGTCCCTCTTCCAGAGCTGATCTCTCCCACTGTAAGGGCTTCAGAGGGAGAGAGGTGAGCTTTAAAATTTTCCCTGGATAAAACTCTGCTTATCTGATTTCTAGGGAAGCACTGGACAAGTACACGTAAAGAGAACCGTGATACTGGTTGCCTCATGGATATTTCCAGTGTTGGCATCTGTGCATGGAAGCCTGGAAGGAGAGCGTGCCCTGAGCTCAAGAAAGCAGCACCTGCCAGTTGGGGGGCAGCCAAAGGGGGTATGAGGAATATGTTTAGGTATTAAACATAAAGAACTCCCATTTGGGATTCCTACTGTATGGGAAAGGGATTCAGCATGTCAGTTGTCTCCTATCAAGAAGAAAAGCAAAGATGCCATGCCCAGAGCTGCTGTGGGGGATTTTGGCTCACTGGGCATCCAGCCAACCCCTCAGGTCAGAGCAGCAGAGGCCATGAGGAGGAGCAAGTGGTGGCAAACCCAGTAGGCAGCTCTCAGCACAGGACCCCAGGAACCAGGGTGATGGTGACCACCCCCATCTCCACACACTGAATTAAGCTCTGAACCCCCCTGGGGTTGAGCACGTTAGTGGTGCCAAATCATCCTGCTTGTGAGCTGAGCATCTCTGATCCCGGCCCAGGGTGGGCTGGGCAGGGCAGGAGAAGGAGGTGGCAGCCAAGGGTCAGCAGAGCCTTTCTCTGCCTCCTCTGCCTCCCCTACCACTCTTAAAGTTCCTCTGAGTTGAGACCTGTGTGTTTTATTTGCAGCTGGGGACAGCACTGCTCACTCTGTAGCAGCCTACAGCAGAGTTGGGCTCTCAGTGGTGAGGTTGGGGGCTCAGACCCATAGGTTAGACCCAGCCCCAGAAGAGGTACTTCATTTTGGGACATCTCTAGTTCAAAGAGTCTGACCAGCTCACACATCACTGCCAGTACTCACTGCACCATTGTTTGCCTCCATAAAGGGCACTACTAACAGTTTTAGATAGGGGCCTAAACTTTGCTTTAACCTTTAAAGTACTTCTTTTGCTTTTCAAATCTTAATTTCTGGTTCTTTTAAAATGTGCTGAAAGGCATTGCTGTCTTTTCAGACACATTGGTTTTTTCTCGTCTTTGAATGAAAGAGGGGAGGAGTGGAGAGTGGCCTTTCCTCACTATATGTCTGATTTCACCAAACACCATTCATTAGAAAGATTTTATTCATTAGAGATTTTATTATTCACCACAGGTACAGAGCACTCTGAATGGAACAATTTACCCTGTGCCCCGTATCAAAGCAAGACACTGGATTAAAAATGTAAATTAAACCTATGAAAAGCTTCCCTCTAGGAGAGTACAGCTGCAGTAAGAGTGAAATGAAAAATAGCGTGTTGATGTCATTTGTAGTGCATGGTATACAAAACTTCAAAAGTAATTCTCAATCTGTAAATTCACACCTGGGTTACCTAGAGCTTTAATCAATGGAGGATTTTCCTGCACTAAATCTGGGTAAACGATCAAGATACTCTTTTTAAACTCTTTTTTGCCTTTCAAAATAAGGGAAAAGATGAAAAGGAACAGACTGATACAGCAACTACTGTTGCTGCACATCCAATATAAACAAAACAGAACCAGAAATGTTGATTTTTGCTATAAGCCATACAATCACATATCATTAGCTTTAGAAACTGTAAACTTCAGTTTGAGTTCGTTGAAAGATGTTGGGGGTTATTTGTAGGATTTCTCTAGAAGGACACACATCAGATCTGCCAGCCAGCTGTTGCGTCAGACCTTTGGAATGCTGCATCTCAACACAGTTGGTTTCAGAAAGGAGCTATACAACTTACACTTTAAATCCTTAATAAACTTGAAAACTTAATGACCGAGGTTGCCTCAAATCAATTATATTTCCCAATTCATGAATTTTCTCTTTTCAGGCCCAAGAGTTTATTTTGGTGAGTCTAGAAGTCACCTGCCACCACCCAGTTTTGATGTGACTGAGTTTTGCCTGCAAGTAAGCTGGGGGATATTGCATGATTTGGAGGCTTAGTATGACACTGAGAACATGGTGAGGTTAAGCAGAAACACCTCAGCAGAAGGATCACTGTGGGATCAGGAGGTTAATCTGGGAGGTGGGAGGTAGAGGTGCAATGGGAGGTGAAAGGAGAGGAGGCCATTGAGAGACCAAAAAAATTCCCGAGGTTGCCCCACAGCTGGGTGCCATGAGGCTTGGCCCCAAAGCCACTCAGGCATACTAGGTGTCACATGCATCCCTGCAGCTGGTGACCTGCTTCCCCAACCTCAGCCCTGTCCAAATCCTGTTCCTAACCCTGCCAGTCAAAGCCAAGGGTACTGATGCCTACAAAAGGCATGTAGGCAGCTGGCATCACCCAGCCACAGCCCCCACATTGGATGACAGGGTTTGGCTTTCCAGCCAAAGTACACAGACTCCTTGACCACTGCTGATGAAATCATCACTGTTATCTGCTGTGTGAACCCCCAGGATCCCTGCAGGCTTCTCCTGTCTCCACCCTCAAGTCTCACCACTCAGGACCCTTCCATCACTACCAACAAGTGGCCATGGGGTCGCAGCAGCCAGGGCATCAGCAAAGTTTGGACTCTGGCAAAGCAAACTTTGGAGTCTAGCTGGGGGAAGCTCCCCCTCTGCCAACCAGCAGGGCTGCAACTCCAGGGAGCATGCCCAGGAACCAGACAAGGCATTTGTTCCAGCCTGATTCAGGCTTTTCACAGAAAGTGCCCCTTGAAACCCTGCTCTCAGGAGAGTGTGGGGCATGCCAGGAAAGGAGGCTGCTGTCAGAGCTCAAGGGCTTGAATTGCCCCAACCAGCCTCACCCAGGACCCCTTCCTGGAACCTCTGCTTAGGGGCCTGTGGTCACAGGGAAACTGGAGAAAAAGTAATTAGGCACAATTATGGCAATAAACTCAATTGTTGAGGTAGTTTATAAATTTTAAGTACTAGTCAATGTTTCTGCAGCTGATTGGAATAAAGAGCAAGAATATTTTACAGCTACCTGTGAGGTAGCTGAGGAGCTGAATGTGAGATGGGTTTTTTTCATGTGTGAGAACTCCAAGCATAGTTTTTCTTGCAATAATCACAGACAGCTCTGCGTGATTCAGGCTTTCCCAGTGATCTGAAAGCTGCATGGTATTGCAAAAGTGTTTTTACACCCGAATTTGCCAAGCCAATACAGGCTGCTGACAGTTGCATACAAATTCCCAATGTAGCTGTAATGCTTTTTTACCTAGCATATTCATCCCTCTGTTCAGGCTACTCTTTGAGGTCAGAAGGTAACATGGGATTCCACTGGCAAAAAGGGAATGAGCAAAGGCAGTTTCCAAGTGAGCATTCAAGAAAAGGTGTGCATTTTCGTGGGTATTAAGAGCTGCCTTTTTAGCCTGAAAATTACCTCACACTATCAGAACCATGAAAGGCTGGCAAGAAATAGACTTAGATGGTTGATTTAAACATCTTCTGACTTTTTTGGGAGGGATGTTTCATAACATTTGCCAGTTTGATTCCTGATCTCTTAAGACCACTCTTGTGCAGACTAAGGCAAGACTTGCGAGTGGTATGGAGAAATTAGATATACCACCTGGTCAGTCAGAAGGCTTCTCAATTGCTTCTGGAAGAACTAGATTAATTTCCCTTTTATCCCCTTTTCC